CAAATGAAATGGTAAAAAATAGAGGTAGTTCTTTCCTCAGTTTCTTCTTAGAATCTTTATTTCTTGTGCCTCTTGAGGCAGCAAATTAGCAAGTAATATTCTTAGTTCCTTGGAAACATACCCTTTGATATCCAGGGTAAGAAGGAAGTACCTTCATCTACCCAAATCATTATCTGTTCCAGGGATACCAGAAGGATGGGATCATAATATCTCTTCCAAGAGTTTCCAGAAACTCCTCCTGTGCCCCTTGTGTGGACCCATCCATTCTGTCTGCCCCAGAAATGTTGCCAGGTAGCTGTACAATGTTAGAACTGGGCCTGACCACAGGGCCTTAGACCTGACACTGCTCTTACCCACAGCAGGTAATGTCAGCTCCTACCCAGCCCCTCTCTCCTTTGCTGCTTGTCTTCTTCTCCAACCTTGTGTCAAGTTTCTGCTTTGTCCCAATCTGCTTTCCTCCAGGGACTTGGAAGTCTTTTGCCATCTTCAACTTGGTGGCTCGTCCAGTGTCTATTGTCATCAGTACCACTCATAGCTAGAATTTTTATCTTTTGTACATAACCATCAGAACACTATAACCATCAGAACACCCAATTGGACTCCAAGACATCGTGTCATGCTTATTCACCACGGGTTCATAAAAAGCAACTGATAGTCTCTGCTTTAACCTAAAAGGAAAAATTCAAGTGTTGCTGCCACCTAATTCGATTGATGAGCAGGCCAGGCTGGTTCTTGTCAATGCCATCTACTTCAAAGGAACATGGGACGAGCCATTTGACAAAACATGCACATGCGAAATGCCCTTTAAAATAAATCAGGTAGGGAGAATCTTTAAAATATCATGCTAGTCTGGTGAAGAAATTGAATAGAAAATTTTAACTTTGTAAGATATAAATGGTTAAAAATAATTTCAAATTTATTATCTCTCTTAATGAATTTTAAATTCACTAAATATTATATGAAAAAATAATAATTTTTGTGTGTGATTGTTTGCAACCTTTACAGGCCTTACTACTTCTGATAACTCTTATGCATGTACTGCTACTATTAATTCTGGAAACTATAGGTTCCTGTAAACCCAGGTGCTTAGATAATAAAGAAAAAATAGGTGAGATATTTATATATGTGTGTGTGGGGGTGTGTTTGTGCGTGTGTGTGTGTGTGTGTGTGTGTGTGTGTGTGTACACACACATGTCAAACATGGGACAGGTCAAACAAGGGAATGTGATTACACATTTTTTTTATTTAAGTTTTTTTGATGTGTTTTTTTTTATGCTTTTTCATTGCTGGGAATCAACCCCAGGGCCTTGTACTTCTCCTCTACCACTGAGCTACAACCCAGCCTTTTACTCAATTTTTTAAAATTAAAATAAGCTTTCCTTTGAGTTGTTGTTAATAATAACCTATCATCATTAATTCAACATTTGTTGCTTTCAATTATTAAAAATGAGTTGTAAAAGACTTAGTCAACTATGAGGTATAACTTCAATTAAAGCAGAAATAAAAATAGTTTACCTAACTCCCTAATCCCTTAAAATATAAATTTAATGCAATAGGAAGCTTGAATGCATTAACTCCTCCCCCTCTTTGAAAGGCATATTTTAGATAACTATTAATTTTTAGCAGTGCTGGATCACCATTCATTTACTTTTTGTACTGTTTTAAATTCTGTGCTCATCTGCTCATCCCTCCCAGAAGGAGGAAATACCAGTGCAGATGATGTGTCAGGAAACTTATTTTAATATTGGCTATGTAAATGAGGTGCACACACAGGTGTTGGAGTTGCCCTACGTCGGCAAGGAGCTGAGCATGATCATTCTGCTCCCAGACGATGGTGTGGATCTCAGCTCGGTGAGTCAGGAGGGGCTGCAGTCCTTTGCACTCAGAATTTCTGAGGCAAGAATGTGGTTATGCTGTTGGCTCTTTTTCTTGAAAGCTCCACCACCATTTCCGGCCTTTGTGTTAGCCCTTCAAGTGAGTGATGCCTACAAACTCAGCCTGCAGAGCACAGTTT